CTGAAAAGAGATTTGTTTTCAAGCACAAGTCAGAGGGAAGTCATTGGGGTTAAAACTCAAGTTTGGCATCCATGATTTGTGCTTGCAACAGTTAAGATGATTTCTTTTTCACAGAAGCAAAACTTGGCTCAAATCAGCTAAATTGAGAATAGGAATTTACTTGCTTACATATTTGGGGAGGACAGAGTTCAAACTTATTGACATGTTGATCTAGGGGCTCAAACATCACCATCAATTCTTGGTATTTTTACTGTCGTCCAAACTGGTCCTTGTGTTAGTTAAATTTGCAGGCTGCACATGGTAGCTTAGGATCTAACAGGAAAGAGGGAACTCTTACCCTAGCCTTGAGATGCGTTCTGGTTGCTCCACTGATCCTAAAGCACTTACAGTGGCAAGGGAATTCCTTCTTCAGTGTCACTGGGATGAAGTGACATGCCCCTTATCTGGAAATAGGAGTGATACCCCACCCAAAGTTCATGAACTAAGAATGGGGAAATGTTGGCGGGTACTCAGAAAAATCAATGTCTGCTACAGTGCTCTGTGGGCTTTGCTACTTTTTTTTCTGGATCAGATGCTTGCCATAGCAAGGAGGTCTGAAGACATGTTTATACAAAGAAGCAGAGTTATAAGAACCACAAAAGCATGCAACCCTAGAAACAAAGTATGTAGATATGTTTGTGTGTGCATGTATATGTGTACAAAAGGGGAAGAAAAAACATGCACATATATTTGACAGGAAAGTTCTGGAAGAATATATTGAGAATATATATATTCTTTCAGAAAGAATATATATAAAAATATATAGACATATATGTCTCCCCGATAATTTAAGTAATAGTTTAGTAATACTAAATAGTAACCAAATATTAAACAATTTAGTAATACTAAATACTAAGTAGTAACATTAAACTATAGATATGCATATATGAAAGATTATTATTCATGTGTAATTCATGAAATGATTTAATGTTGTCATTTAAATTTTGCTTTTAATTTTATTTATCTTAATTTTCTAAACTTTCTATAATCTATTATAATGAAAAGAATAACTAAGTATTTTAGAATTATATAGTTGAAATAAAGTGTTACTAAACAGTTGAAATAAACCATTTTTCATCAATTTATTTTCATATAGAAAAGCAATCTAAATCTGAGAGTCAGTCTGGATTAGACCTCGGAGATGGTGGATTGAAGACACGCCATCCTGAGTTGTAGTCGTCCCTCTGAAGTCTCTACTGGCTGCTTTATTAAAGGGAGGAAACTAATCTCCCTTTTTCTCCTCTAAGAATTCTTTCCAATAACCAGGCTTATATTTTGGGTTTACTATGTACTTATGTATATTTTTTCTCTCCTTTAATAAATAGCAATAAAAGCAATGGTGATAAAAACGAGAATAATAACACAACAGCTGCCATTTGTCGAGCAGTTCACAGTGTTCCAGGTGCAGAACTAAGAGCTTTGTAGACATTGTCTAATTTGACCCATTCAGTAACTCTAGCATTCATGTGTTTACTTAATCAAGAGATCTTTATTGAGCACATACTACCCTGTAAAAAATGATCTGAAAGGTGGATATTGTATTATGAAGCTGAATTTTTTTGTTTTATTTTTTTGTGTGTGTTTTTTTAAATTGTTGTTCAAGTATAGTTTTCTGTCTTATACTTCCATTCCAGCCCCCCCATTCTCCCCACCTCCCTCCATTTCCACTCTCCTTAGTTTTTGTCCATGTGTCCTTTATACTTGTTCCTATAAACCCCCTTTTCCCCTGAAATTCCTCCCTCTCTCCTTTGGTCACTGTCAGCCTGTTCTCTATTTCATGTATTTGGTTATATTTTGCTTACTTGTTTGTTTTGTTGAAGCTGAATTTTTTTTAAAAGGAAAGCCACTGAGAAATGGAGAGTGGTCCATTCTAAGATTGCGATGGGTTCCCTGGAAGTATAGCAGGGTCTCAAGGGCTAAGAATGATGGGGACATGTATCCAGGTCCAGGCAGCTCCTTCGAGGTAGCTAGTAGGAATTCCAATGAAAGAGAAGAAGGTGAGCGTGCTTGGGGACTGAAAAGTCAGTACCATGCTGGACTTTGTCCAAGAGGGAAATAAAGAGGAACTGGCATTTGTCTATAAGAGCAAGCCCATGCTGCCTTTTACCTAAAGCCATGATCACAGTGTTGTGCCTCTCTCTTTCTGCCATTAATTTAGCCAGTGAGGATGAGCAAATTGTCCTTTCTAGTGTACCTTTGAATTCTCTCCCAATAACTTGTAGATTACTAAATTTTTCCTCTAGGTTTTAGAGGAAGAAACTAGGAAAAAAATTTTTGAAGCAAAAAATGTGGTAAAATATTTAATAACATAAATAACATAGGCCACTGCCCCCCTCCCCACCACAGAGAGCCAGGTACACTACATTTGCACTATAAGATGCACCAACATTTTACTCTCAAATTTTGGGGGAAAAGTGTGTCTTATAGTCTGAAAATATGGTATGGTACTTGCTTAATATTTAAGAGTGAGGATACCGCTTTTGAGAGAACTGAGTTTAAAGCACAAATATGCCACTCAGTATCCAAGTGATCTTGGTGTAATAACCCACCCCCTGCAAGGCTCAGTTTCCTCATTTGTAAAATTGCCTTAATGTAGTTGTTAATAGCGCTTGGAAAGTGACCGTAGCAGAGTGCTGTACAAAAGTGGCAGAGTTCAATGGATATGTCACACACTGGAGTTAGATTGCTAGGTTCAAATCCTGGGTCTGCCTCTTACTAGCTGTGTGACCTTGGACAATCTACTTACAGTTTTTTTGCCTTGGTTTTCTCATCTGTAAAGCGAGGACAATATGAGCAGTTCCTATCTCATAGCATTAGTGTGAGGATTGCATGAGTTAAATGATGTAAAGTGCTAAGAACAAGGGGTGAACTCAGTGAGCACTGTGTCCATACTTAACATACTAGTACTTATAAACTAGTTGAGAAGACTAAAAGAGTGACTGTTAAATTTAAAAACCAGCATAATGCTTCTACCCCTTAAGTGCTCTGTTAACTTATATTAAGGTTAAGGACCATACCATTGAACAGATGAACCCAATATTACAGGCTGACCAGCACACTCCAGGGTTCACTCGGATTTCTCTTCTCAAACTAGGGATTTGATGGTTTCAAATCATAAAGCAGAGTTGTTTCAATGATGAGATAACTGCATGAACAGTTCCTTTGGTAACTTCCTTAAATGTGGCAGTTTGTTTCAGGGTGTTCCTGATCATCCTGTAAAGTATTTGTTTCAGCCAGCGTGCAATACTTTTTCTCAGTGTTTGTGGATGGTTATTTCTCACTATGTTCCTTATTTGTCCTATATTTTAGACTCTGACTACAAATGTTGGGCAGTCTTGTCGTTCTATCCCAAGATATTTTGTCTTTCACTCGAGTCTCCATAGATGCATTATTCCAGGCCTACGACTTAAATGCCATTTAATAACTAAGTTCATACTTCTAAACTGTGTCTCCAATTTTGGCATCTCCCTAGAACTTCAAACGCATACATGTTATCTTCACATATATGCCTGATAGGCATCTCAAATCAAGTCGAAACAAAACTCTCAGCCTGAGCCTCTTCTGTGCACTCTGTTCTCAGGCTGTCATCTAAATGTGCATTGAGTCACTCGAGAGCAGAAAGTAAAGGAGGGGGACAGATGATCTTTTGTTTCTCTCTCTTCCTCATCACATTTTCCCCACCAGTAAGTTCTGTCAAACATATCATTTATGTATTCACGAAAACAACTCATTTCTCTGCATCCCCGCCGATCACCATTTTTATCTAAACCATCATTATTTTTCTATTGGAATACTCCAAACTAGCTAGCTAGTTTTCTTGCCTTTACTATTAGGCCTTTCTACAACTCACCCTCAGTAAACCACTTTCACGTAAACTTCCATTTTATAGTTTGCTCCCCAGAGAAGGGCACCTAGGAAACTTTTGCAAACCCCTCCCTCCCTCATTCCCGGTAGATGTGGGCTTTCCTTTCCCTGAAATCTTCTGCCACGGGTGTCCAACCTTTTGGCATCTCTGAGCCACATTGGTAGAAGAGTCATCTTGGGCCCCACATTAAATATACAAACACGAAAAATGATGAGACAACAAAAGGTTTTAAGTGAATGTATGATTTTGTGTTGGTCTGCATTCGTAGCCATCCTGGGCCGAAACACATGGCTTGCAGGCCCTGGGATGGACACCCCTGAGCCTTTCAGATATTATGGTCTTGATGCATGTCTGCCTTGAATTTTCTATTCATGTTGCGTCTTCCTTATTACACCAGCAGCTTTCCAGGGACAGGATCTATGCCTGATCCCTCTCTACATACTCTCCAGTTCTCAGCCTTTTGCCTTGCATGTATAACGAATACCTGCTGCAGCAATTAAGTGCAGCTTGCAATATGAACTGTCATCTCAGGGCTATTTCAACAACTAAATTTTAAAAGTGTGATTATGAAGCACCTGGAGAAAAAGCATCCTATTTTAGGATGATATTATGTCTGCACAGATTAAAACTAGGGTTTCAAGCTTAATTACCTCTAGGATGAACAGCAAAAATAAATAGGAAATGTGTAGTAAATGCAGGAAAATGGGTAATTGGTGAGCTGTGTATGCTGTGCACAGAAAAGAAGAGAAAGCCACTAATACTCAGATGCGGTCAATTACTGCCAAGAGGGATAAGGGCTCCGTGTTGCCAAATCCCTCTGTTTTTTTTCAAGAGAATATGGAAACCCAAAGCTTATGTGAATTTTTCTAATCTTTCAAACATGTTGCAGGCCAAGCAGACAGCATCTCTGAGCTGGATTCAGTCCTGGGGGGCTGCAAGCCTGGAGCTCCTGGGAAGGAACTCAGGTATTATACACCTTTGGTTTTCTGAATTGCGTGCTATCTGTCTAACGTAGTTGTATTTCACGAGAGGTGATGAACTGTGGTTACTTGGAAGGTCACTTTTAGCCACTGTGATGTACTTGTATTTGTCACAGAGAGAACCAGAGTCGTGCTGAGCAAAGGACTTGGACCATCATTTCCAGAATGTGTTAAGAGCCTCAGAAGAAAGGTGCAGTACCACTCGAAGGTAACTATTGTTGTGGGGTTTTGAGGCATCCTTCTCTGCCTGTACGATAAGCCTGTGCAATGGACTAACAGTCTTGCTATTTATTGAAAAGGGCAGCCAGGTCCTTTGGCGCCAGCACGATTGCATGTGTGTTTCAGAGACACATAAATAGAAAATGCAGACCCAGTCCAAATCCTTTCTTCTACAATACAGAGAAATATCTCTCCTTATTCTGCTATCAGATCACTCCTGACATTTCTGCATTAAATATGGGTTAGATAAGGGTGCAAGCATTAAATTTCTTTTAACTCATAAAATAAGCGTATTAGTGTGGGTAAGGAAAGAAAAAACCTTGTTTGTGCACACACAGCTACTTAAGGGTGATATGGTAAATGAAGGAGGTGTGTGTGTGTGTGTGAGAGAGAGAGAGAGAGAGACAGAGGGGACGAGATAGAGAATTACTGAAGCTCAGAATATGGGTTGTCTGGGGGGGTGTGGGCACGGTGCAGCATTCTTTGGTGCAAATGATGAGAAATTCAATGACCTACTGTGCACAATGCTAGGAAATCCTAGTATCTTGCTAATGAGGAACTTCACTCAAATAGGTTTATGATTTATTTGCTAAGGAGAGAATTATTAATTTACAATCAAATTTACTTAACTGGGAACATTAGGGTGGACCTAAGGAAAGGAAAATGAAAAGCAAATAAATATCAAGATTTATGATACCCTGTTAAAATTGTCTGTGGAGCCCTGACTAGGGTGGCATTGTCCTGCAAAGCAAGGTTGCCAGTTTGATTCTGGCTGAAGGCATATGCCTAGGTGGCAGACCAGGTCTCCAGTCGGGGGTGTGCAGGAGGCAGCCAATTGACATTTCTCTCCCTCTTTTTCTCCCTCTCTTCTCCTCTTCCTAAAACAAACAAACAAACAAACAAATAAATAAATCTGTCTTTAAAAAATTGTGGAAAATGCACAGAAAAGTCCCAATTTAAGGCATGCTCTTATTTTGTACAATGGAAGAAAAAGCACACGTTATATCAGCTGTTACCATCTCCCTGGAGTTAGATTATGGCTTATGAACATCAGCTTTAGGGAGACGTAGGAAATCAGAGGTGAAGGACAGGTATGTCTTTCAAATCAGTTGTAATCACACGTCCATGTGGATTAAGAAGTCCTACCGTCAATAGACAGAATTCAATAAACAAAGTAAATTTAACATATTATCCAAAGGTGTCCTTCAACTTTACATATTGCTTTGCAACATGGGGATTAGGTCTCAGTCACTATCCTTTAAAAACCATTCTTTATAAATAGTTTTAAGGTATTAATTTTAACAAACAGGATTTTAATGTGTATGACAAAGCTATTGACTTGACTCTAACTAGTGGCCATGCTAAATGTCCTCACTTGTTTCATATACATTGTCTTTGACTTTGAAGGGGGACAATATAAATATCTATGAAATAAATCTGTAGATGTTATTTGTAATGGTCTTTTGAAAAGCGCCAAACATTTTACCTCCCTGGGGTTTTACTGAGTCGTGTTCTCCAGTGTAGTAGGTGGGGAATGGGCACAAAAGCAAGCATTTTGCAGCGGATGATGACTAGGACCCCTCCGCTCTTAGTGGCCTTCCATTTACTCTGGCCAGTGTCCCTTTGCCCTGTGTGGTGTTTCCAAGCAGCATCGCCGACTGAGTAGTGTTCTCATGCAAGAAAAGCCCGTCTTGTCCATGAGTGTTTTTCAGTGAACAGGAGCTGAAGATTGGGCTGAACTACATCAGATTATCTCTGACCAGAGTCCTTGTCTAGACCTCAGGGTTTCATATAGCCTTTATAAAGGGGGATCGAGGCATTTAGTTTTAGTTCTCCATGCCCCTTGTTTTATTCCAGACTAGCATGAGGTCTTAAAGGTATGCCTCTGTCTGAAGACATGGACAACAAGGTACACTGGCTAGAGACCAACAGAAGCCTTTCAACTTCTGAAGGGTTTGTCCATTTATGTCCAGGATTTCTGTGTCGGATGGTGATAGAAACACATTGGTAGCAATGACTGCCTTGGATCATGTCAGACGTTGTTAAATTCGGGGATCTTTGAAACATTCCCGCTTACTTAGTCCCATCCTACTGGTGCCCTTAACTAATCTGGACGTTTGTTCAGACCTTCCCCTGAGGAACTACAGCTCTTAGCTCTCAAGAACTTACCTGACTCCTTCTCGATAACCATGATTTGTTCTGAACACAATGCTGAATCATTATAACCACTTTTCCCCTGGATCAGCATCTCTAGCATGATAGTGATCAAATTTTCTCACTGAGGTACTCTTAAATACAGAGGAGAGTGAGCACACATTTTTAAATAGTATGGGAAAGGAAAATCAGAGGAAATTGAGTGCCCAGCATAAAAGGTAATGGTAATGATATTTGAAGGTATTTCTCAAGCCCTGGTTTTTGATAATTTTTGTAATTTCTTTTATAAATCTCCATCACGATTTAACATTCTATCCTATGATTTATAATACCAAACTATATAATACATTAAGTAATTTTCATATGTGATACAATTTAATAATGTATTAATATTGAATTTATTAGCATTTTAAATAATGATTCTTCTTGGTTCTCTATGACTTATTTCATATAAGTATTGGAGTTAAAATTTCTGTCCATGACATTGTGATAACTTCCTTCAGTGCTTTCTTCTACTTTTCTTGCAGATTCCTCCCCAGACTCAAGTCTATCACTGCCCAGAGGTGTAAGGAATACGTCACGGGAAATGTTTGACCAGGTATGCTGACTAGATAGCTCAATATTGCCTTAAATGTTTATTCAGAAGCCTGGCATTTTACATTTTTATGACGTTTTTACTTTTAATGTAGCACATCCATTTCATCCCTTCCCTGTTCAAAAACTTCCTATTCAGAACAACGAAGTAAGTCACAATTAGGAGTGCTGTCCAATGTCATTACCCAGAATTGGTGGGCAGGAATAGGCATAGATAGTCCTCAGGAAGGGTTCTCAGAAGTGAGCTACTTTATCTTTTCTTAAACTGTCTGGAGGTTAGAAATCCATGAAAAATAAGAAAGTAAATCTAAAAGATAATAGGATATAGCTAAATCAATATTGATTATTTAGAGTGAGAATGCTTTATGGGAAACAGTAAAATCTTTTAGGATCCTGGGGGGGAAATATGGGTATAAAAGTAGAATAAATTACTACAGTTTAATCACTTGGTAAGTAACTAAAATACTGTTGCTGGATTTATAGAGTCAGAGAGCAACCTCCTATTAAGTATAGAACCGGTTGGTGATTCTGTTGTGATGGATTCCAGAGAAATGGTGTGAAAGCCATTGCTGTCTGTACGGCTTACCTTTCATGTTTCTCTTCATTACTCTTCCCTGCATGTGAGTCCATTTAAAAATGTCCTGTATTTGTAAAACCATACATTTTTATTTGAAGGGGGCCTTACAGATTCTGAACATTAACTTAAAAGCCTTACTTACCTGTGCTACTCACTGCTTATCATTTTCATCGAAATCATTTATGACTCTAGTTTGCTTCCTTCATTACAGCCAGGGTCAGCCTTTTGGCTTCAACCCCAGAGCTGTATTTGACTCCAAAGTGTTTTCAGGTGACGGCTATAGTTATAATTTTGTACAAGGTGACAAAATCAATGGGCCTTTGGATATTTAACATTTTCCTTCTGCCACTGGCATTACAGTGATAAGGCATTGATGTGAAGACGTAGAGACACCGGGTTTGTCATAGGGCCACTTGTCAAAACCATGCATTTGGGCCCTGACCAGTGTGACTCAGTTGGGTATTGCCACAAAGTGAAGGGTTTCCAGTTTGAGTCTCGGTCAGGATACCTGCCTGGGTTGAGGGTTTGGGTCCTCAGGTGGGGTGTGTCCAAGAGGCAACCAATAGATGTTTCTCTCTCACGCTGATCTTTTGCTCAGCTTTTTTCTCCCTCCTTTCTCCTCTCTCTAAAAGTAAAAAAAAAAAAAATGCTTGTGATAAAGTTAGACTTCGCTCCATGAGCAACAAAGGTAACACATTTCCATTTTCCATTTCCCCGAAATACTTTGACAAGGTCTCTCTTTCCTGAGCAATTCTGAAATTTGAAAACTTTTTGTTAGCCTTCTTGTCAAAATTTGTCACCTTTGTCCCATTTTTTATTAATTGAGTAGAAAATAGTGGCATCGAGTAAGTCTCACTAAATAATAATTAACATAATACTGCTTTGTGATATTTTTATTTATGTTACATATCCAGGCATTTATATTAAAATAACAAGTATAAGGAAGTGCAAATTGTTAAGAACACAATGTACAGAGAAAGAAATATTCAGTTATAATACAACCACTTCTATTCATTTTACAATTTTTTTTCTCATTTTTGGTTAATTTACATTTTTCTCATATATGAGATTACCTTTGCCAGATGATCTTGTATCAGTTTGACCCACGTGAGATGGCCCATATCTGAGTGAACCATTGGGGTTCAACCCAGAAAAAAAGAACCTGTAAAAGATATAAATTAAGATATTCACTGCCCGTAAGAGTTCCACATCACAGAGCAGGCGGCCTGGAAGGGCAGGCTGGACCTGCCAGCAGGGCCTGAAGCTGCTGTTTGGAGGCAGATCCCTTCATTAGGGAAGCCTCAGCTCATCCACCCGCATGATCTAGAATAATCTCTCTTCCTTATATTAACTGATTATGGACTGGATTCACATATATCAGATATCTGCACAGAAAAACCTGCATTACTGTTTGACAGAATTTTGTAGGGGTAAAGGTAGGGAGATAGTCTTGCTAAGTTAGAAAAGGAAAGTAAATGTGGTTTGACTTAATAGTAAACATGGCATCCCACATTCTTCCTATATCTATGTGACTTGTTTGAGGACTTCAGAAAATCACTCTGAAATTACCTTGAACTCATAACTGGGAAAACATTTGATACATTGTTAGATTTTTCCAAAACTCACGAATAATATTAAAATGTTACTATTATTCCACATGAAATCTCATTTATTGTTTGAAGGCCTGCCTTTTGTTACTCCTTTCTTCCAGAAGTGGCCAGCTTCATTATTGGGTTCTCCGTTTTTTCTATTTCATTCCCAATAAGATAATAAAATAGTATTTACTGAACACCTTACGGATAGTCCAGTGCACCTTTGTTATAGAATTTCTTCGCCCCTCAGCCTAGGAGTACAACAATAAAAAAAAGCAATAAGTTCAATTATTTTCTAGTCTGTAACCAATCAGATATCAAACTCTTCTCACAGACACAGAAGGACTTACAATTTTTTTCCTTTTAAATAAACAATATGATGACTTGGCCGTTTTTTTTAAACTTTATTTATCTTTGGAATGGAAGGAGAGAGGGAGAGAAATGTCAGTGTATGGTTGCCTCTTGTGTGTCCCCTGCTGGGAACTGGCCTGCAACCCAGGCATGTTCCCTGACTGGGAATTGAACCATAATCCTTTGGTTCGCAGGCCCGTGCTCAATCCACTGAGCTAGTTGGCTGTTCTTATAAAAAGAAATTATAAACCAAATCTTTGACTCAACAACAGGGGCAGTGACCTGCTGCTTCTTAAGTGAGGGCAAGAGGTACAGTGTTGTGCATTGCGCTTTTCCCCGTCCTCAGAAACTTGGAAGACCTGACTGTGCTTCTCTGGATTAAACAAGCACAGGTCCCAGTTTCACTAAGCAGAGCTTGGCGAAAATGTCAGTATGGTCAGTGGAAAATAGCAGTTTTAAACTTCAAAATCTTAAAACAGATGTCGTAAATATGTCAACCCTGTGAACAATTGATTGCCAGGATAGTTTTACCCTATACACTTGATCACTATGTTTCCAGCATCATTGATGTTATCAAACTTGCAGAGAGTAAATCTGCATTATTTATGGTCAAGGTCGCACCTGTATTATTTTTTTCCTGCCATGCTCCAGGATAAATCAAGTCCCTTTGTACTCTGAGTCAGTAGAAGTCTTACTGGCTTTCAGTCATTGATTCTCATTGCAGCATTTGCAGGGGAAAGTAGTATCTGTGTCTAGAAAGCCATTTCTTTCCTGTGAATTTGGGGCACTTAAACACCACCATGTCATGATGGAACCGGTGAGGACCTATCTGAGGACCCTGAGCTGGGACACTGAGGTGAAAGAGGAAGGTTATTGAATCTTCAGAATTTGCAGATCCAAGTAGCTACTTTAGAACCAGGGGTTACTCAAGGGGGGAATAGACAGATATAATGCTTGACCATCTTTGGACTCATGATGACGTGGCACTGTTTGCCAACCTTCTGTCTCAGTGATAGTCGGCAGCAAACTTTACTTCCTGTGGGATATGGCCAGTTTCTTTTCAGAAATGAGTAGAGGCAGTACGCTAAAGGGAAATGATTTTTCTTTAAGGGACAAACCAAGAGTCATGGATTAATGGGTTCCAATAATAGTAGTAATGTTGAATACTATCGGCTATCAAAATTATTGATTTTTTTGAATCTACTGTTTTTCGAAGCTACCATTATCTGCTTTCTCCACATAAGGGAATTAAGGTCCATAGAATTTAAGGAATTTGCCTAAAGTTATGAGCTATTAGGTGATGTATTGAAGACACAGATTCAGGTGTGACTGTGGCCCTGCTTTCTATACTGTTTAATGAAGCAAAGGGAAAATGGCTTCTCCAAACCACCCACCAGCTCAGAAACTCCCTTTATTCCAGCTGTGAGAATTATTGGAGTCTCCTCAATGACATCATCCTGTCTTGTGTATCCTGCCCTTTGTGCTTACCTCCTGCCTTGTTTAAATGACTGCATTCCACTGGTTCTCAAAGGATCAGTTAAACACATCTTCCTGAATGCCTTGTCATTATGTCAGGTTCCCTCTCTATGGGCACCTTTAGAATCCCAGGCTTATGTCTGGTGTAAGACTGATTTCTTATTGATGTTCTCCATGAAACTCTGAGCTTCTCAAAGACATAGGACTTCATGTTTTCTGTTAAATCTCCAGGACTTAGCAGAATCCCTAGCATCTAGAAGATACTCAGGAATGTTAGTTAAATGACATGAATTACCAGAGCCATGACCAAATCCTTCAATTGATATGGATTTCTTTCCTTTTCTACCCTGGGAATATTATATATTTTTATATACAATATATATTTATGTATGATGTATTTGCATAATATAGTTATGTATAATATTATATATTTGATATATATAACATATATATATGTTTGATATATATAACATATATATATAACAAATATATATATTTGATATATATATAACATACATATATATCAAATATATAATATTGGTTGGCCAAAATGTTTGGTTTTTTTCTGCATGATGGCTCTAGTAGTGCTTAGTTGTCTTTAATGTCATTCCAAACACCTTTGTTAGACTGTGTTGTGACAGCTGTCATATTAGCATGCATTTTTAATAAAACTTATCAATATTGGTGAATTTTTGTATAGCTACTTTAATATTGAAGATGGAAGAAAATATGCAACATATTTAGCATATTATGCTTTGTAATTTCAAGAAAGGTAAAAATGAAGTGCAAAAAAAGTAAAGATTTGAGCAGTGTATGGAGAAGGTACTGTGACTGCTCAAAAACATCAAAAGTGGTTTGTGAAGTTGGAGCTGGAGATTTCTTACTGGATGATGCTTCCCTGTCAGGCAGAGCAGCTGAAGTCGATAGCGATTAAATCGAGTCATTAATTGAGAACAATCAGTGTTATACCACATGGAAGATAGCCGACATACTCAAAATATCGAAATC